TGGTTGGACCAGGTGACTCTGCGTCACTCTCTCTCTGGTTATTGATCCCTCTCTTCTCTCTGATTGGAACAGGTGACTCTGCGTCACTCTCTCTCTGGTTATTGATCCCTCTCTTCTCTCTGATTGGACCAGGTGACTCTGCGTCACTCTCTCTCTGGTTATTGATCCCTCTCTTCTCTCTGATTGGACCAGGTGACTCTGGACATGCGTCACTCTCTCTCTGGTTATTGATCCCTCTCTTCTCTCTGATTGGACCAGGTGACTGCGTCACTCTCTCTGGTTATTGATCTCTCTCTTCTCTCTGATTGGACCAGGTTACTCTGGACATGCGTCACTCTCTCTCTCTGGTTATTGATCTCTCTCTTCTCTCTGATTGGACCAGGTGACACTGCGTCACTCTCTCTCTCTGGTTATTGATCCCTCTCTTCTCTCTGATTGGACCAGGTGACTCTGGACATGCGTCACTCTCTCTCTCTGGTTATTGATCTCTCTCTTCTCTCTGATTGGACCAGGTGACTCTGCGTCACTCTCTCTCTCTCTGGTTATTGATCTCTCTCTTCTCTCTGATTGGACCAGGTGACTCTGCATCACTCTCTCTCTGGTTATTGATCCCTCTCTTCTCTCTGATTGGACCAGGTGACTCTGCGTCACTCTGTCTCTGGTTATTGATCCCTCTCTTCTCTCTGATTGGACCAGGTGACTCTGCGTCACTCTCTCTCTGGTTATTGATCCCTCTCTTCTCTCTGATTGGACCAGGTGACTCTGGACATGCATCACTCTCTCTCTGGTTATTGATCCCTCTCTTTTCTCTGATTGGACCAGGTGACTCTGGACATGCATCACTCTCTCTCTGGTTATTGATGTCTCTCTTCTCTCTGATTGGACCAGGTGACTCTGCGTCACTCTCTCTCTGGTTATTGATCCCTCTCTTCTCTCTGGTTGGACCAGGTGACTCTGCGTCACTCTCTCTCTGGTTATTGATCCCTCTCTTCTCTCTGATTGGACCAGGTGACTCTGCATCACTCTGTCTCTCTGGTTATTGATCCCTCTCTTCTCTCTGATTGGACCAGGTGACTCTGCGTCACTCTGTCTCTCTGGTTATTGATCCCTCTCTTCTCTCTGATTGGACCAGGTGACTCTGCGTCACTCTCTCTCTGGTTATTGATCCCTTATTTCTCTCTGATTGGACCAGGTGACTCTGCGTCACTCTGTCTCTCTGGTTATTGATCCCTCTCTTCTCTCTGATTGGACCAGGTGGCTCTGCGTCACTCTCTCTCTGGTTATTGATCCCTCTCTTCTCTCTGGTTGGACCAGGTGACTCTGGACATGCGTCACTCTCTCTCTCTGGTTATTGATCCCTCTCTTCTCTCTGATTGGACCAGGTGACTCTGCGTCACTCTCTCTGGTTATTGATCCCTCTCTTCTCTCTGATTGGACCAGGTGACTCTGGACATGCGTCACTCTCTCTCTCTGGTTATTGATCCCTCTCTTCTCTCTGATTGGACCAGGTGACTCTGCGTCACTCTCTCTCTGGTTATTGATCCCTCTCTTCTCTCTGATTGGACCAGGTGACTCTGGACATGCGTCACTCTCTCTCTCTCTGGTTATTGATCTCTCTCTTCTCTCTGATTGGACCAAGTGACTCTGCATCACTCTCTCTCTGGTTATTGATCCCTCTCTTCTCTCTGGTCGGACCAGGTGACTCTGCGTCACTCTCTCTCTGGTTATTGATCCCTCTCTTCTCTCTGATTGGACCAGGTGACTCTGCGTCACTCTCTCTCTGGTTATTGATCCCTCTCTTCTCTCTGATTGGACCAGGTGACTCTGGACATGCGTCACTCTCTCTCTCTGGTTATTGATCCCTCTCTTCTCTCTGATTGGACCAGGTGACTCTGGACATGCGTCACTCTCTCTCTGGTTATTGATCTCTCTCTTCTCTCTGATTGGACCAGGTGACTCTGCGTCACTCTCTCTCTCTGGTTATTGATCCCTTTCTTCTCTCTGACTGGACCAGGTGACTCTGGACATGCATCACTCTCTCTCTGGTTATTGATCCCTCTCTTCTCTCTGATTGGACCAGGTGACTCTGCATCACTCTCTCTCTGGTTATTGATCCCTCTCTTCTATCTGATTGGACCAGGTGACTCTGGACATGCGTCTCTCTCTCTCTCTGGTTATTGATCCCTCTCTTCTCTCTGATTGGACCAGGTGACTCTGGACATGCGTCACTCTCTCTCTCTGGTTATTGATCCCTCTCTTCTCTCTGATTGGACCAGGTGACTCTGGACATGCGTCACTCTCTCTCTCTGGTTATTGATCTCTCTCTTCTCTCTGATTGGACCAGGTGACTCTGGACATGCGTCACTCTCTCTCTCTGGTTATTGATCCCTCTCTTCTCTCTGATTGGACCAGGTGACTCTGGACATGCGTCACTCTCTCTCTCTTGTTATTGATCCCTCTCTTCTTTCTGATTGGACCAGGTGACTCTGCGTCACTCTCTCTCTCTGGTTATTGATCCCTCTCTTCTCTCTGATTGGACCAGGTGACTCTGGACATGCGTCACTCTCTCTCTGGTTATTGATCCCTCTCTTCTCTCTGATTGGACCAGGTGACTCTGCGTCACTCTCTCTCTCTGGTTATTGATCCCTCTCTTCTCTCTGATTGGACCAGGTGACTCTGCGTCACTCTCTCTCTCTGGTTATTGATCCCTCTCTTCTCTCTGATTGGACCAGGTGACTCTGGACATGCGTCACTCTCTCTCTGGTTATTGATCCCTCTCTTCTCTCTGATTGGACCAGGTGACTCTGGACATTCGTCTCTCTCTCTCTCTGGTTATTGATCCCTCTCTTCTTTCTGATTGGACCAGGTGACTCTGTGTCACTCTCTCTCTGGTTATTGATCTCTCTCTTCTCTCTGATTGGACCAGGTGACTCTGCGTCACTCTCTCTCTCTGGTTATTGATCCCTCTCTTCTCTCTGATTGGACCAGGTGACTCTGGACATGCGTCACTCTCTCTCTCTGGTGATTGATCCCTCTCTTCTTTCTGATTGGACCAGGTGAATCTGGACATGCGTCACTCTCTCTCTCTGGTTATTGATCTCTCTCTTTTCTCTGATTGGACCAGGTGACTCTGGACATGCGTCACTCTCTCTCTCTGGTTATTGATCTCTCTCTTCTCTCTGATTGGACCAGGTGACTCTGGACATGCGTCACTCTCTCTCTCTGGTTATTGATCCCTCTCTTCTCTCTGATTGGACCAGGTGACTCTGCGTCACTCTCTCTCTCTGGTTATTGATCCCTCTCTTCTCTCTGATTGGACCAGGTGACTCTGGACATGCGTCACTCTCTCTCTGGTTATTGATATCTCTCTTCTCTCTGATTGGACCAGGTGACTCTGCGTCACTCTCTCTCTCTGGTTATTGATCCCTCTCTTCTCTCTGATTGGACCAGGTGACTCTGGACATGCGTCTCTCTCTCTCTCTGGTTATTGATCCCTCTCTTCTCTCTGATTGGACCAGGTGACTCTGGACATGCGTCACTCTCTCTCTGGTTATTGATATCTCTCTTCTCTCTGATTGGACCAGGTGACTCTGCGTCACTCTCTCTCTCTGGTTATTGATCCCTCTCTTCTCTCTGATTGGACCAGGTGACTCTGGACATGCGTCTCTCTCTCTCTCTGGTTATTGATCCCTCTCTTCTTTCTGATTGGTCCAGGTGACTCTGGACATGCATCTCTCTCTCTCTCTGGTTATTGATCCCTCTCTTCTTTCTGATTGGTCCAGGTGACTCTGGACATGCGTCACTCTCTCTCTCTGGTTATTGATCGCTCTCTTCTCTCTGATTGGACCAGGTGAATCTGGACATGCGTCACTCTCTCTCTCTGGTTATTGATCGCTCTCTTCTCTCTGATTGGACCAGGTGAATCTGGACATGCGTCACTCTCTCTCTCTGGTTATTGATCGCTCTCTTCTCTCTGATTGGACCAGGTGAATCTGGACATGCGTCATTCTCTCTCTCTGGTTATTGATCCCTCTCTTCTTTCTGATTGGACCAGGTGAATCTGGACATGCGTCACTCTCTCTCTCTGGTTATTGATCGCTCTCTTCTTTCTGATTGGACCAGGTGACTCTGGACATGCGTCACTCTCTCTCTGGTTATTGATCCCTCTCTTCTCTCTGATTGGACCAGGTGACTCTGGACATGCGTCTCTCTCTCTCTCTGGTTATTGATCCCTCTCTTCTTTCTGATTGGTCCAGGTGACTCTGGACATGCGTCTCTCTCTCTCTCTGGTTATTGATCCCTCTCTTCTTTCTGATTGGTCCAGGTGACTCTGGACATGCGTCACTCTCTCTCTCTGGTTATTGATCGCTCTCTTCTTTCTGATTGGACCAGGTGACTCTGGACATGCGTCACTCTCTCTCTGGTTATTGATCCCTCTCTTCTCTCTGATTGGACCAGGTGACTCTGGACATGCGTCTCTCTCTCTCTCTGGTTATTGATCCCTCTCTTCTTTCTGATTGGTCCAGGTGACTCTGGACATGCGTCTCTCTCTCTCTCTGGTTATTGATCCCTCTCTTCTTTCTGATTGGTCCAGGTGACTCTGGACATGCGTCACTCTCTCTCTCTGGTTATTGATCCCTCTCTTCTTTCTGATTGGACCAGGTGAATCTGGACATGCGTCACTCTCTCTCTCTCTGGTTATTGATCTCTCTCTTCTCTCTGATTGGTCCAGGTGAATCTGGACATGCGTCACTCTCTCTCTGGTTATTGATCCCTCTCTTCTTTCTGATTGGTCCAGGTGACTCTGGACATGCGTCACTCTCTCTCTGGTTATTGATCCCTCTCTTCTCTCTGATTGGTCCAGGTGAATCTGGACATGCGTCACTCTCTCTCTGGTTATTGATCCCTCTCTTCTTTCTGATTGGTCCAGGTGACTCTGGACATGCGTCACTCTCTCTCTCTCTGGTTATTGATCCCTCTCTTCTCTCTGATTGGACCAGGTGACTCTGGACATGCGTCACTCGGCTCTCGGCCACTCCTGGCTCAGCCTCCGGCTCTTCGATGAGGGAACCATCGCTAAGTGGAAGGACTGCTGCACCCTGATGGAGCACAACATCAGCGGAGCCACCAACTACTTCTTCTCCCCCACGCTGGTCTCTGATTGGTTCCACCGCGCCGTGTCTCTGGTGCTGCTGGAGGTGCAGAAGAAGCCTCAGAGGGGGATGCCCCGCGTGGAGAAGGTGATTCAATGCAAGGGTTTATTGTCATACGCACAGAGATAGTAGCAGCTCAGCTTAGACACCCATACAGAGCAACACACACTCAACACACACACACACATACAGAGCAACACATACAGAGCAACACACACTCAACACACACACTTAGACACACATACAGAGAAACACACACTTAGACACACATACAGAGCAACACACACTCAACACACACACTTAGACACACATACAGAGCAACACACACACTTAGACACACATACAGAGCAACACACACTTAGACACACATACAGAGCAACACACACTCAACACACACACACACTTAGACACACATACAGAGCAACACACACTCAACACACACACTTAGACACACATACAGAGAAACACACACTCAACACACACACTTAGACACACATATAGAGAAACACACACTCAACACACACACTTAGACACACATACAGAGAAACACACACTCAACACACACACTTAGACATACACACAGAGAAACACACACTCAACACACACAGTTAGACACACATAGAGAGAAACACACACTCAACACACACAGTTAGACACACATAAAGAGAAACACACACTCAACACACACACTTAGACACACATACAGAGAAACACACACTCAACACACACACTTAGACACACATACAGAGAAACACACACTCAACACACACACTTAGACACACATACAGAGAAACACACACTCAACACACACACTTAGACACACACATGTAGAGAAACACACACTCAACACACACACTTAGACACACACATACAGAGAAACACACACTTAGACACACATACAGAGCAACACACACTCAACACACACACTTAGACACACATACAGAGAAACACACACTTAGACACACATACAGAGCAACACACACTCAACACACACACTTAGACACACATACAGAGAAACACACACTCAACACACACACTTAGACACACATACAGAGCAACACACACTCAACACACACACTTAGACACACAGAGAAACACACACTCAACACACACACTTAGACACACATACAGAGAAACACACACTCAACACACACACTTAGACACACATATAGAGAAACACACACTCAACACACACACTTAGACACACATACAGAGAAACACACACTCAACACACACACTTAGACACACATATAGAGAAACACACACTCAACACACACACTTAGACACACATACAGAGAAACACACACTCAACACACACACTTAGACACACACATGTAGAGAAACACACACTCAACACACACACTTAGACACACACATGTAGAGAAACACACACTCAACACACACACTTAGACACACATATAGAGAAACACACACTCAACACACACACTTAGACACACACATACAGAGAAACACACACTCAACACACACACTTAGACACACATACAGAGAAACACACACACTTAGACACACAGACAGAGCAACACACACTCAACACACACACTTAGACACACACATATATAGAGAAACACAGCCCATGCGTAACACTCGCTGACCGGCTCTTTTGTTTTGAGTTATCTGTCAGTGTGATATGCTCCTCCTCTGGCCGCTCCTCCTCTGGCCGCTCCTCCTCTGGCCGTTCCTCCTCTGGCCGCTCCTCCTCTGGCCGCTCCTCCTCTGGCCGCTCCTCCTCTGGCCGCTCTGGCCGCTCCTCCTCTGGCCGCTCCTCCTCTGGCCGCTCCTCCTCTGGCCGTTCCTCCTCTGGCCGCTCCTCCTCTGGCCGCTCCTCCTCTGGCCGCTCCTCCTCTGGCCGCTCTGGCCGCTCCTCCTCTGGCCGCTCCTCCTCTGGCCGCTCCTCCTCTGGCCGCTCCTCCTCTGGCCGCTTCTCCTCTGGCCGCTCCTCCTCTGGCCGCTCTGGCCGCTCCTCCTCTGGCCGCTCTGGCCGCTCCTCCTCTGGCCGCTCCTCCTCTGGCCGCTCCTCCTCTGGCCGCTCCTCCTCTGGCCGCTCCTCCTCTGCTCGTGCTCACGGATAAACAACCAGTGATATGTGTCAGGTGGAGAGGAACGGCACGGTGATCTCCGTGGTGCTCGGCGTGGGCAGCAGCCGCATGCTGTACGACATCGTGCCGGTGGTCTCCTTCAAAGGCTGGCCGGCGGTGGCTCAGAGCTGGCTGATGGAGAACCACTTCTGGGACGGCAAGATCACGGAGGAGGAGGTGATCAGCGGGTTCTACCTGGTGCCCGCCTGCTCCTCCGGGGGCCGCAAGGAGAACGAGTGGAGGCTGTCGTTCGCCCGCAGCGAGGTGGGTGTGAAGTGTCTGTGAATACCTGTGCATTCATCAGGAGTAACTGACCTATCAGAGGCTAGGACAATGTGCAGCAAGGGTTAGGGACATTATCCCGCTTATCACACGGCCACATGCTAAACAAACTGTGTGTGTGTGTGTGTGTGTGTGTGTGTGTGTGTGTGTGTGTGTGTGTGTGTGTGTGTGTGTGTGTGTGTTGTGTGTGTTGTGTGTGTGTGTGTGTGTGTGTGTGTGTGTGTGTGTGTGTGTGTGTGTGTGTGTGTGTGTGTGTGTGTGAATGTGTGTTGTGTGGTGTGTGGTGTGTGTGTGTGTGTGTGTGTGTGTGTGTGTTGTTGTGTGTGTGTGTGTGTGTGTTGCTGTGTGTGTGTGTGTGTGTTGTGTGTGTGTGTGTGTGTGTGTGTGTGTGTGTGTGTGTGCTGTGTGTGTGTGTGGGGTGTGGTGTGTGTGTTGGGTAGTGTGTGTGTGTGTGTGGGGTGTGTGTGTAGTGATGTGTGTGTGGTGTTGTGTGTGTGTGTTGTGTGTGTGTTGTGTGTGTGTGTGTGTTG